CAAGCGTAATACACACAAATAACTTAACACTGTGTCGTATTTACTTAACGTAGGGCAGTTGCGCTATATCCTAGGGGAGGGCTTAATTATTTCTTAATAAGCATTATAGGCCAGAGGAAATTTTACGCCCCGTCACACCTGCGTCCTCTTGCTACGCCACTGCTAGCAGGTGTTATTAGTACTAACTAGTACATATAGGTTAACATTAAACACTGTACAGACCTTAGCTTAACCAGTCAAACTACCAGACTGGTATTATTATTATTACTAACCAGTGCATATAGGTAACAATTAAACACTTTACAAAATTTAGCTCTGCCATTCAAACTACCAGGGAGAGGGGTATTGCTAGTACATATAGGTAAACATTAAACACTGTACAGACCTTAGCTAAACCAGTCACACTAGTAGGCAGACAGGTGTTGGTAGTAATAATCAGTACATGTAGATAAACATTAAACACATTACAAACCTTACATGTACCAATAAAACTATGATACAAGTAGGTATTATTAGATATAGGTGGTACATGTAAATAAAGATTTATACACTGTACAGATCTTATCTGAACCAGTCAAACTATCAGACAGACAGGTGTTGTTAATACTAACCAATTGATGTAGATAAACATTAGATACTCTATAGATTTTAGCTAAACCAGTGAAACATGTAGGTAAACATTAAACAATGTACATGCCTTAGCTGACTCAGACTACTAGGGAGACGGGTATTGTTAGTACTAGGCATTACAGGTAGGTAAACATTAACCCTCTCACAACTGCTTTGGTGGATTGCATCAACTTAATGACCTCAAAGTAACCTTCAAAGTTTCCATACTTTAACTTGTTTTTTGTATCTTCATAAAATTTTTAAAGCTTTCAGTAAACACTACAAAATCCAAAATGTTAATTAGTTTACTAAAAATTTGTCTGTGAACATATCAAGTCAGAGTGATGATTGTTCTGAATGCAAAGTAATTTTCAAATTTCATTTACTTAGTCTTGAAATCCTTCTAATTAATTATCAAACATTTATTTCTCTACAACTTTATATTTCATGTTATTTTCTCTACCATAACTCTTTATGCATTTGGTTAATTTGACCAACCTCATAACCACCATAAAACTTTATATTTTATCTGTTATTTTCTCTACCTTAACACTATACTTGATTCTGAGAAATCATCAAAATATTATGAAAAAAAAAGGTTGAAAAGTGTGAAATAACATGCGTAGTGCTGTTCTATCCTTTTTGATATTGACAATGTACTTCTGAGAGTTTCTATATGTAACTTTTTCACATCTATTTCCTAAGTTTGTTTTACTATTAGTGACTGAAGTAGAAACCTGTGTAAAGTAATGAATCATCACTCCTACCACAAGACTGTTTACATGACACTGTAGTACGACACTGTTGATAGCAGACAAGCATATGTGGCGCAATAAGCAGATGTTTTCCACAGAGTATCGTAATCCTGGCTTTGAGAACACAGTGGCCGAGGATTTATCAGCTTGTTTATAGTACAGTGGTTGCAACAAGAATCATCTAAGTGAATAAAAGTGTGAGAAAATGTCTATGACATAGCTGTGTACAAAGTCCGGGCCAATCCAGTAAACATTGTAGGTATTTGGATATTAGTTATCCTTGCGTAGTGGTTGGAATTTTGCAGTATAAGTATACAAAGTATATAAGTGCTTATGAACAGGTAAAGATATTATTGTTATATATTCATAAATACTTAATTTATTAGATATTTTTCTTAAAACATAGAACAATAAATTAAAAATATTTATAAAAACATTGATTTCTAGTATTTACGATGTTATGAAATTGATTTCTGCTCGCATGTCTTATATGTTAAGCC